GTTACACATTTTCACACATCAAAATGTACGGTACATTTTATAACCAGAGAAGCAAAATATAAGACTACAGTATCACAGAGGATAGGAGATGGATAGAAGGAATTATGCAATTATTAATTTTTATGTGTATGTTCTTAATAGAGTAACATCACTTTCGTTTGTTTGCTTGCTTTTGTTTTGAGACAGTGTTTCACTTTGTTGTCCTGACCTGGAACTCTATGCTGGAACTCTCTATGTAGATGGGGCTGGCATTGAACTCATAAAGATTGGCCTTCCCTTGTCTTCCAATGATGGGATTAAAGGTTGAAATCGCCACATCAAGCCACAGTTACTTTATCTGAAGATAGACGGTAAAAATTAAAATGTAAATGGAGGGCGGCAGGTAAAGTCACTTTCCTTGAAAATCTGGAGACCTGAGTTTGGTACTGGGATCTAAATGAGCGAAGGGAGGAGAGAACTGATTCTGCGAAGCTGTCCTCTGGCCTCCACGTACACACTGGAGCATGTGTGTGGCCACATTCACACACACATATTGTAATAAGAACTAAAGATTTTATAAAGATGTAAATTGAGATTTCCAGAGCAATTGTTCTGTGTAACATAATAAAACCTGGACAGAAAATCTAGAGCAATGCTTCTCAGCCTGAGGGCTGTGAGCCCTTTGGGGGGGTTGCATATCACATTTCCTGCACAGCAGATATTTACATAATAGTAGCAAAATCACAGTTATGAAGTAGCAATGGAATCGATTTATGGTTGGGAATCACCACAATACGAGGAACTGTATGAAAGAGTCATAGCATTAGGAAGGTTGACAACCTAGACGGTGAACGGAAATATGAAAATGTCCAATGTAACCAAAAGAAGCCAGGAAACAGGGAGGTCCAGAGACAGGAAATCCATGTCACATGGAAAGGATGAATGAAATGGGTTCCTCACATGGGCTGGTCCTGGACAATGAAGGTCTTTGGAGATTTGCTTCTGCTACAACCCTGAAAATGTTTTGTCATGAATTCAACCTAAAACTGCAAAGTAAAGAGAGCTTATAAGCAAAACGTATACTGAAGTCAAGTCATTTTGGTGCGACCAACATCACTTCCACGACAAACAATAATGAGCCGCTTCTCACGCCTCCCCCCCATGCTGTCAACAGTTAAAACATTCCAAACATGGGTTTGTAGCCTGTGTATTTTTCTGAGCTCAAACTACAGTCCCAAGAGGGTTTTTAAAACATGTCAGTGGAAAGGATATTTCCAGATTTAAAATCCATTTGCCTGCCACTGAGTGTCCGTCTAATTTCAACTGAATGTGGCTAATCTGCCTGCTCAGGGGAGCTGTTGTGAGATTATGTTGAGTTCTAATAGAATTTTTAAAATGACTTCAAAGGACTGAAACCCAAGTAAAAGCATTCACCTGTGGGTTCCCACGAATGTGTCACGGTACCTAAATGGCTGGAGAGACACTTCCAAACTGAGTCTGTGTAATTCCATTGAAAGGCAGCATTACATGAGGCAGACACAGTGATGAATGCCAGTTATCCCATCACTCAGGAGGGGAAGGCTGGAGGACCAGGAGCTCTGGGTCCTTCTTTGTGGTGTAGATTAGAATCTAGGCTGGGCTATAAGAATGAACAGAACTTACTTTGAACCTCAGGTCAATAAAACTTATTTCCCACAAAGAGAACTCCATTCCTTTCGTTAACAGACCTGAACTAAAAAAAATACTCTTCAAAATATGTGGACTTTCCTGTCCTCTTATTATACAGAAATTTAAACAAAGTCTTCAATTTTGCCTTTCAGCCCATAAAGCTGAAAGTATTTACCCAAAGGCCTTTGCAGAGCCAGTCGCCTGTGGGTTAAACGCAGCTTTGGGTCTAGCTGCTACTGTGTACTTGGCTTGGGAACCAACCCTAGACATTTTACGTCAGACTGCCACCTCTGTGAATCACCAGGAGAAGGTCAAGACATGTCAGGAATGGAAGCTGGAAGTCAACACAGTTAGGCAATCATCAGAGCTCATACAAATTAGCACATGCAATATGGACGGTTATCCTAAAGAAACTCTTGGTAGAGAGGTCCCTCATACCCACAGGCTCGCTTTCCCCAGCTCCAGTTACCCACAGGCAGCCATGGACATGGACATTTTCAGACACGGTAGTATGTTTTATTAGTGCTTATTATAGTATAATTGTTCTGGTTTATTACTAATTATGGTTAGTCCCTTACAGTGATATATATATATATATATATATATATATATATATATATGTATATATATATATATGTGTGTGTGTGTGTGTGTGTGTGTGTGTATGTGTATATATATATATATATATAAAATTTGTGTGTGTGTAGTATCTAGCTTCAGGTATGCATCAGGCCTCTTGGTATATATCCTACACAGATAAAGAAAAGACCACTGTGAACATCGTCATATTTATGAAAATCTTATTCCTTAGGTGCTACCCCTTCCCATTTCATAGGTACTGAGAAGTTATTGGAGACCCTCCAGTTAGATGAGTGATGTAAGGGTGCCTAGCAGCAAAAGCCCATCAGATCCAGTGTCTTCAAACTTCAGTTAAGAGAAGCAAAGGAAAACCAAAAAGTGTTTAGCTGGGAATGGAGCTCAGTGGGAGAGCACTAGACAAAAACAGATGAGGCCTAGGTTCAACCTCCAGGGCTGTAAACAAACTAACAAATGGATGCTTAAGCATTCCCTCCCCCTAAACAGCAAGTGCATAGTGACCTAGGCTTGTCATTCCAATACTTGCAAAGTGGAGGCAGAATCAAAGGTTCCGGGGTTAATACTCTTCTTCAAGTCAAGGTCAACCTGGACTACAAACTCAAGAAAATCTAAAACCGCAGGGCGGTGGTGGCACACACCTTTAATCCCAGCACTTGGGAGGCAGAGGCAGGCGGATTTCTGAGTTCGAGGCCATCCTGGTCTACAGAGTGAGTTCCAGGACAGCCAGGACTACACGGAGAAACCCTGTCTCGGAAAAAAACAAAACAAAACAAAACAAAAAAAACCCAAAAACCAAAACCAACCAACCAAACAAAAACCCCCCAAAAAAAAAACAAAGAAAAAAAGAAAGAAAATCTAAAATCAACTGGCTGGGCGTGGTAGTACAGGTCTTTAACCCCAGCACTGGGAGGCAGATGGGTAGGGCTTCAAGGCTAGTCTCATCTACTTTGTGAGACCCTGTCTCAAAACGATCAAAACCACCTAAACCCAACGAAAATTCCTAATAAGAAGCAACAACAACAACAACAAAACACTACAAACACTCGGGGGCAAAGGTGAGTACTTGTGGGGGATAAGAATGGGTAAATGTAGCTGGGTTGGGAGCTATTGTACACAAGACTAAGTTCTTTTGGTGAATATGACTACTAAATCATAAAACTGGTTGTGGTATCTGGAGGTTCCCTCCAAAAACGGGACTCTTCGCAAATTTCCTTTAGAGTGTTCTGATGAATGTATGCACATTAGTACTGTTTGTGGAAGTCTGAGCACGTTTTTATGACGCTGAAAGCGTGCAGGGGAAAAAAAAATACAGAGGCAGACAGGTTTCCTAGTTCCAGGCCAGTCAGGGTTACACTGGAAGACTTTACTTCAAAACAATACTGCTCCTCGCGCCTCCTCCTTAAGAAACTAGTGGGAACACAGGGGTGGATCTGGAAACTCCTCAGCAGGGGACATGAATATAATGCATTTATACACACAATCATTTATGTTTATTTTACCGTCAAAAGACAAAATGGAAGTGCATTAAGCTCTTCGTTATATATCCACACACTAAACCCTGTATATACTAGCGGGTTAGAATTTAAACACCATCTTCTGCAGTGGACATTTTAAGGGATTATAAATAGCAATAAAAATAGAGTGATCCGAACGCTGGTGCTCAAGGCTAGCGCCTCAGCCCCTGGATTCTGGCAGCCCCTCCTCTGCAGGACCCAGGGCTGTCCCCTCCGCCAATGACCGAGCCGGAGCAGCGGCCCAGGGGAGGGCTAAGATCTGCTGGAACGCGCCCTGTCAACTTTGTAGTCCAGTCACCTACGTCGGTTGGTAGCGGCCGCTGTGGCTTTAAATGGCCGGGGGATTTCGAATCGGGGAAGGCGGGAGGTCAGGCCGTGGGGCGCCCCCGTCGCGGGGAGCCCCCGCTCGCCGCGTCCCTGGGCCGGAGCGCGGCCGCGCGGCTTTGTCTCCGGCGTCGCGCCTTGCACTTCCCCGTGCGCAGCCTGTAACCCGAGCTCCCATTTCCTGGTGGATTCTCTTAAAGCGGCCGCGGTCGCTGCGCAGAACAAAGGCCATTGTCTCGCTTCCTCCTGCGGCGCCGCGTCCTTCCCGGAAAACCCCTTCCTAGACCGCGGTCCCCGGGCTGCATCTGCGCCTCGGGGAGCGCACAGAAAAGCCCCTACTGTGCGTGGCCCTGGTCCTCCGGAGGCGTAGCCCTGGGGAGGCGGGAGAGAGATGAACCAGGCTTGCTGGTCCTGGGGCCAAGCTGCAAGGTTCCCCGAAGGCGTCCTCCGCCTCGGGGCCGCCTGGTGGGCATCCCGCGCCCCTCCCCCGCACGCCTTTTGATTTCTCCGCGGCCCGCGGTAACCCGAGCTTTTATTTCCTGGTGGCTCCTTTAAGAGGCAGAGCCGGGTGCTGGGAATTCACGTCAGTTTCTGCCCTGAAACTCTCAAGATCAATGAGCAGAGAGCTTTCTCAGTTCTGCCTTTCAGTTTCTCTCTTCCAGGAAGGAAAACATTCGAGAGAGAGAGAGAGAGAGAGAGAGAGAGAGAGGGAGGGAGGGAAGGAGGGAGGGAGAGAGAGAGAGAAATCTCCGCGGGAGGGCGGGCGGGGGCGGGCGCGCCGGCCGCGAGTGGGAGGAGACACGCGAGGCCGGCCGGCTGCGCCCGGGTCGCAGCGCCGCGACCCGCACACCCCACGCCGAGCTCGCCGGCTCCCACGCCCCCGCACCTCGCGCCCGATCCGCGCCTTCGGAAGAGCCCCCCTCCCCCTCGGGCGGCCGCCGCCGGCGATGCTGCAAGAAACTTCTTAAATGACCGCGTCCCGCTGCCCCGCCGAGTGTTTCTGGGTTGGGGAGAGGAAAGGAAAGTGGAAAAAAACTGAGAACTTCCTGATCCCTTTCGCTGTGAGACATGTCTGAGACTCCTGCTCAGTGTAGCATTAAGGTAACGATCGGATTCCCCTTCTTCCCCCACCCTGGGCGATCGGAACCCCCTTGCCCCGAGGCTGCTGGTGCAGTTGCTAGGCTCGTGGGGAATTATTTGGGGCGCGAGGGAAAGGAGATGCAGTTCGCGGCAGCGGCTGTACCCTTTAGTGTAACCTTGCTACACCCCTCTCCCGCCGAGCTCCTCCTGGGCTCCTGGGCCCCCCACCCTAATCCCTTTCTTTTTGACAATGTAATGCCGCTCTCAATTGGTAGGAGGAACCCGGGTTGTCTTCAGATCTGTAGAGCACCTCCGTAATTAGTGCGCTTAAAAATAAGAAAGGAAAAAGAAAAACCCCTTCTTCTTATTCCTACGCCTAACATGAGACTGAATTGTAACTTTTGTTCCCGAGGGGGTGGTCTCCCTAGGGAAAAAGTTCTAGGGGCCCCACTAGGATGGTCTCGGTCTCTCTCTCTCTCTTTCTCTCTCTCTCTCTCCCCCTCCCTCCCTCCCTCCTTCCCCCCCCCCTCCGTCCTATCACACAAGAATTTTACCCTCTCTTCTCTTTTCATTGTGATTGCAAGTCCTAAGACAGTTTTGGTGTCAGCTTTTCCTGGCCATTGCACAATGAAAAAAAAAATTAAACCAAGGTGAATAAAGTTGCTGAATAGTTGTTTTACTCTAGTGCATATGAAAGTTGAGCAATCTGGAAGTAGAAAACTCCTGTGATGCAGGGTTGGAAAAGAAGTGGCTAGGCAAAATGACCTTCTCTGACAGTCCAAGCTGGTGTTGAAAAGCTGCAATCTCAGAGATCCCTGGCCTGTTCTAAGTTCAGGAGGGATATTTGCAAACAGCCGTTGCCTTCCAGGTAGTCGCGTGTGCATGTGTATACACAGTCTGTCTATATAAGGCTGTGGTGCTGTAGTTTGTTGCTTTTAAAAAGTTGTTGTGAAGTTTGCCACCATTGGGAGGCAGGATGATTTGTCTGTCTTCCCCAGTTATTTTTCCCATGCTGCATTTATTTCAAGGTTCTGCCAGTCACCAGGAGGCAAGCTTTCCACTCTCTGTGCAAGGCTGAAGTTTCTTAAGTTTTCTAATGGTTTGGCCTGTTTAATATGTGCCCTTTGCACGGATGTTGCAGAAACAATGGGCAGCTAGCCTGTTTTCTTCTTTGGGGAGGTAACAGCTTTCCGTCTAGGATCTATGGGAGGGAAAGGTATTTTGTCACTGGTTTACTAGTTTTTCATAATTAGAATCAGACTTTAGTGTTTCTTATCAGGAATAATGGTCATGGGTTTGAAGTCAGGCTGATGGGGACATCGAAGGTGCATTGGTGTCTTTGTTTTGTGCCTCACAGAAGAGCCCAGAGGAACTTTTTGGTCTTTTGTGTTTGTATCAGGGGTAGGCTTTGGAGCGGTGAGTGCTTCACTGAAGAATTTAGGATACCGCGCGATTCTTTTTCCTTTGATACTTTTTCCTTTGCAATATAAATTAGATTCTTCATCTGAGTTCAGGGAAAAAAAAATCTTGTCGTATAGATAATCTAATTTACTTCACACTTCATAACAAAAACAGAGGTAACTAAATAATAGGGTATTAGATCAGTAAATTGTGTTTGTCTCAGTGGCAATAAACCTGACAGCAGAAAAAGTCTGGACCAACTGGAGCACAACAGCTTCAAATTGCAAACAGCACAATGTGGTCTATCCTGTGATGTTGCCTATGTCTTCTAAACTGACTGCATTCCTGCTGTTTGATGGGCTCACGATAGATGCTGGAAACAGGAGTGTCTCTGTCAACTGCTTGTTTCTCTGCATCCTAATGGAAAGAAGGGCTAACTCATGTTAAGGAGACAAACCCCATCAGAACACATCCTCAAGTGTGATAGGGAAGTGGTATGCAAGCCGAAGCATCATTTTTTTTTCCTTGTTGTCTTAGGTTGTTTATGTTTTTCTTTTCTTTTTCTTTTTAACTTTGGTCCTGGGAATGGGACTCAGAACCGTGTATTATATGGGCTTGCTGATCGCTGCTCTTTACAGTAACCCAGCCCTTCCCTGCTTTCTGGGTTCCTCCTTTATTTTTTATTTTATCAGCGTGTAAATTGTCTTCCACATATGTTTATTATTCTTCCCCACCTATTGGAGTAACTTTTTTTGTTGTTGTTGTTTTGTTATCGGTGGAGCCAGTCTGTGACTGTTTGCCTAGGCCGTGGGTGTTTTTAGGTGCGTGTGTGCATGAAGATTCTCTCTGTGGAGTTTCTTGAGTTTATCCTGTTCCATAATAAACCAGGGAGATCAAGGACTAGGATTAGTTCAGGTCATCTGAAAATGTTTCAGTGATGTGTGCTTCATTTAGTCCTTGGGCTATGGCACCATGATGCAGTGAGGAAAAAAATGTTTACTAGCAAGTCCCAAACAAGTTGCTTGCTGCTAGGGGACTTTACTTGAGTCCAGTAGGGGATAAACTTTTCCTTGGGGTGGAGCATGCAAGCGAGTCTCTGAAGGATGAGCTGATGCAGTTTTGTGCTAAAGGCACGAAGGAAGGAAGGCTGCCTTTGAGGAGAGATTTCTCCCACTCCTCCTGAGACCTTCCCTGTCTGTTCTCCTGCAGCACAAACAGCTGGTCAGCTGCAGTAAATTCCTCAGCAGCTGGTGAGATGGAGGCCACAGGAGCCTGGCCAGAGGCAGCCACAGGAGCCTGGCCAGAGGCAGCCACAGGGGGGAAGTACTTTGTTTACTTTTGAGCCCTTGTCTGTTCTGCTAGGAAAGACCAGAGTCAAACCAGGGTGGAGTTTCCAAGGTGAAAGTTTCTGAATTGGTCTATCAGTGATACCCATGTAAAGATCATTTGAGTGTAAGGTGTCAGACAGGAGAGCAGGGAAGAGCCTTGTATGATACTCTTTTACCATAGAAGAGAAGCTCCCCCTGCTAGGCTGGGGTCATCCAGAGTAACATGGAGCCTTGTTAGTTCTCTGTAGTAGCCTCTCTGTGAGTACTGTGACCTTCTGCCCTGTTCCTCACCGGTTGGGGTTGGTTGACCAACTCTCTATAAGAAGTCAGATATTTTTCGTTTTGTTTTGTGTTTTCCCCAGAAGATCGGTCTTGTCACAGGACAAAGGCAAAATGGGTTGGTTTTTCCACCCTCAGCCTTCACCTTCAAGTAGCCTGTGCAGTTTTAGATTCAGCCAAGTTAGAGCGGAAAGTGGTTGTGGCCCAGCGGACACAGGCCTTTTGCAAGGCTTGGCACAGACGGAGAGAGCTTCTGTTGGCTGATGTGATCCGACACACCAAAGCTAGTGGTGCGATGCTCCTGACCCTTCTTTTTCTGTTTTCCTTATCAGCTCACATTTATAATAGGATGGCATTCTCATTTCAAAAAATGTCTTATGAAGACTGTCTCAATGTCTCATATTTCTTCGGGTTAGCGAGGGTGATCTTGGTGCCATGGCTTCTCACCTGGCAGCTGGCGCAGACACATTTCTGTCATGTTTGCTGACTCCACGTGAGGTACGGAGGAGGTGAGTGCCCTTTCTTCTCTGCCCATGCATCACCTCATTTAATAAGAAAGCTCCAGAGCTCTTCCTGGTGTCTGTCCAGTAATTAAAAGGAAATATGATGATCTCCATAATCTCAGAAACCGCTTCTGTGTCTAAGCAAAAGAAAGGAATCGAGGTGACAGTGGTGTAAACCTGTAATTGCCTTCACATTGGGAAGGAGGATCAGGAGTTCAGGGTCAGTCTTGGCTACATAGTGAGCTAGAGGCCAGCCTGGGCTACAGGAGACCTTGTCTTAAAAAAACCAAAAATTTAAAAAGAGGAATTTAGTAAGCAAACAAAAAGGCTGTGGGCTCCTATAAGGACTCAGCTTGGAGGGTTCCCCATTTCTCTGACAGTAGCATCTGGGAACTTTTTAGATGTTTAGAATTAAGTCAGAATTGAGAGATCTCAGCCAGATCCTGACCCACACCCCTCCATGTTTAAAGAGTTGGCTTCTGAGAGCTAAGTGGTGACTTTAGCCCATAGATGACTGAACCCCGTTAGCACACAGGCCCACAGGGTCTCAGGCAGCTACATCACATTCTCAAGGTTCATGGTGTGTCTATAAAAGGCTGGGGAAATCTGATACAATAGGCTATGCTCTCTGGCACTTCCTAGTGTGGTCCATTTTAATCACAAGCCAGCTGGTCCGAGGGCACAGAGCTATGTGCTGTGGAAGATGAGGTGTGTGGGAACAGTGGGCTGCAAGGGTCTAGTCAGGTGTGAGGGGAGGAAGTGGTAGGAGGGAGGGATGAGGGAAGAAGGGGCTGCTGCTTCTGGTATTTGCACCATACTTTGCAGAGATACCTGGTATGGTGGCCTGTGAGAGCCTGGCAGTTCCACCGTTGGCTGAACGCACTGCTACCTGCCATCAGGTCACTGTCACCTCTTGTCACCTTGTCACCTCCATGGGTGAGGCCAGGCAGACCTTCACTTATGTGTAGTAGCACTCTCTTTAAGAATACTGAAAGCTGATTCTAGAGTTTGGGAGGGAAGAGTAGGTAAAGGGGTGGGAGGGCGCGCTGCGGGAGTGGGAGGAGATACCTTAGCTGGTGAACAGCCGACACAGAACTAAGACATGTTCTCAAACACACTGAGACGGGCAGGGGGAGGGGCAGCTTACTTGTTACTTGTTGATCTAATTTCATTTTATTACTGGCTTTCAAAGGTTGGCCTTTGGTGTGGTTCCCCCAGCTGGGGGAGTCTATACCGCAGGAAGACCCTTAGCCTGCTGGGCATAAGGTGGGACATACTTTTTTTCTGTGAATATTACTTTAGAAAGACATCATGACTTGGTCTCAGGCGGAGTCCAGCATTGCTGTAATGTTCCGATAGACTTGAGGATGCAATATCTGGGCATTTATTGAATAGAGTGTGATTTTCTTCAGTGTTCCCACGCCAATGGGAGCGCGGCTTGAGGATTGTTTGTTGCCAGACCTAGTATTTGGGGGAGAGAAAGGCTAGACTAAATTAGGGGAGAAGTTAG